AGTCCCTCCCCCACCCCAACAACATAACTTGCAGTCCTGTTCTGAGAATCAGGAGATCTCTTCTGAAATGGTGCCACCTTCACAGAAATCCCACTATTCTGGAATGATACCATCTGCTGCAGCCCAAGTGCTCTTTTTTTAGCCAAATAAGTTAATTAGAATTAGGCATCCAACAACTGTGTAGAGGTAGAGGTAGAATTCATGCTGAAGTTCAGCTGAGGTTCACCCAGTGTAGTTTGAACCAAAGCCTATTCTCTTGGGAAGATTTAAACACAAGAGATTTGAAAATCAGACATCATTTCTCAAAGAAGTTGGGGAACTCCCTGAGGAAATACCTCCATTCTCAACATGCCCATGAAGTAAAACCCGACAGAACTGCAGCACCTGCCACCTTTGCTTTTGGGCCAGGACCTGATGCAAGGTGTGTCCTACATGCCATGGGAAGAACCCGAGCCTTTCGTGCCGGCTTGTGGCCACAGCCACTGCTGGGGGTGCTACAAGGGAGGCATTTCTGAGTCATTGCCTCTGACACTGCTCTCCAACCCAGGTGAAGTATTGTTCGACCATCACTACAAGTATACTGTTGTCCTTTTTGCAAAAACAACAAAAACAATGTTAATCAGGTTAATTCAATCATCTAAACCAAAACTGTTCATGCTTTTCTGCCAAATCAACCAACCACAGCAAAATCTGTTATCAGTGATTGCTCAGCTTCCAGTCAAAAAAGCTTTTAACCCCCACAGTCCCAAAACTTCCCCTAAATAACCTTAAAATTATTTTTATATGGGCAGAAAGAGGTTGTTTTCATGCCTCATGAAGGGGAAGTTGGGCTGCAGTATTTACACACAACAAATACATACTCACAGACTTAGCAGAGAGCAACAGACACAGCAGCTTCCTAAAACAACTCAGCTGAATTAGATATCAGGGATTCCTTTGCAAATGAAACATTTCTCTCAAAAGGAGCATTGCAACGAAAACTTATTTGGGCCTTCCAGGTTGTTTAAATAGGAAAAAATAATCCAAGCTTTTTTGCAACTCATTCATCGGTGTTTAAAGCTTCAAGGCCGCTCAGTGGAAGGGGCAAGGGCTGCAACAACTTATTTACACAATTATCTAAATACGATTAAACAGCTGATGGACAAATATTAAACTGGAAAATGTATAGTCATTTCAGCTTAATGTAATCCTCTTTCTGTAAACACCCAAGATGATTTTTTTTCAACCAGAACAGTCCTGACATCTCATAAGCCTAAGGGTGAATAGCAAGAGATTGTTTTTGATAGTTATAAATATTCAAAAGACATGCAGACCATCTGCTTTCATAATACAGGTAAAGCAAGACTGAAATGGTGACTGCTGTATAAAAATGGTTCTTTTAACAAAGTCTTCCTCTCTTCGAAAACTATAAAGACAGATGTCAAAAACTGTTTACACAGGGTAATCAGGAGCGTGCAAAATGTAATATTCCTTTTACACACAGTGCTTGCTAAAGAGATTTTTTTTTTCTTCCCATCTGTGTGTTGCAACACATTTCTACAAGTTAAAAACATTTTTTCAAACAGAGATCTCATGAATACCCAAAAACATGCTATCTGGTTTCTGAATGCTAATTAATTTCAACTAAGGAATCTGATTTTTTTTTTTTTTCTGTAGGAAGGAATGCATGCTTTTGAAATGGAGTACTTCAGCAATAACAGACACTGAAAACAGAACACCCCACAAGTTTAATTTTGCACTAGTTTGACACTGGCTAAATTCACAACTGTTTTACATTCAAACCCACATCTGCTAAATCTGGCTAAAAGACAGACAGGAACTATTCCTCTGCTTTTCAAATGAGATTTTATTTATGTTTTTCAATTTATCAAGTTTTTCAGTTTAAAGCCTTGTAACAGCATAATGGTTTTGTGAAGTGATAAGTAGAAGATACCTTGTCTTCCAAGCAGAATATGAACAGTGCTGTCCATAAACCCTACAGTCAATTTTCAGAGCTGAAACA